GGGAGGAGAGGAGAGAGAAGACGACAAGACAACTTCTCTCGCGATCTCCGGGCTCGCAGGCTTTATTTATACCCAAAGCTGCCGTATTATTGGATCACCCCCGCCTGACACGTAAACGTGTCTTATGCGGGCTTACGTAGTCCGCCTTTCTATTTCGTGAATGCCCGACTTCTACCCGTCTACTCGGTGTCTCGAAAACATACGATTCTAAAAGATTCTGTCTAATGATTTTGCAATCTCTTGAAATACAGCCCTTAGAATTTTTTTCAAGGATAATGAAATCTTTTGGAGTACCGTGTCTCGGTAAACGGTAAACACTAAACTTAATCGAGTGTATACGGCGTATGTAAGACTCGAGTTCAAAATTGCCATGACAATTCATGATTGCCTATAGCATTTACTGCATCGTATCTACGTGTATTGCGAAAGCTTTCAGCATTCATAGACCTTTGCACCCAATACCGTCCGAAGGATAATTTCTATTTGCGCATTACAAGAGTTGTCATCCTATTAGGATGCAATATCTTGCGGTTGTGGAGGTCTTTCCAATAAACGCGTCACGATTTACCGTATCCGTAGCACGACGTATACTCCCGAATATTCATGGACGTGCGTTTCTGCAGCGTCGATCTGATAATTCCTCCTTTAGGCGCCGTAAATTGTTCCATTAGCCGGAACGCAATATCTTCCGGTTAGAGACGAGATACCTCTCCGGTAAATGTGCAGCGCGATAAACGTATGCGTTAGCGTCGCGTTTTATGCGTTTTCTTGCGACATACAGTCACGCGAGGATGTGTCGATGAACAGATGCGGTGGAACGCGGCGGCAATTTGTCGAATTAGCTTAAGGATAAGACCGAAAATTGGGGTCAAAATAGTAGTAGCGAACGTAGAGACGAATTTTCACTAATATTTATGGGATTGCCGAAGGAATGCGGTGTGTCTTCCGGAATTCTTTAACGTCGCGTTTAAGATTCCAGTCCTCTTGATTTATTTGCCGATCGTCATAAAGTAAGTGTCGTCGTGTGAGAAACGCGTTAGCGGGATGATCGTAAAACCGATGACAACTTTCGATGGCATTTATAGATACATTCGTAAATCTAAATAATAAGATCTCGCGTATTAAATATCGATTACAGATGTAACTTGCTGTGCATTTCGACAACTTTATCTTTTGTCCCGATAAGAAAAAGTTTTCATCAGTCGATTCTTGTTTCATTCTTTGCAATCAATTGTATTAAAAAATTTAAGAAAAAGTAAAATTATATAGATTTTTCTAATTATCTGAGATATTAAATATTATTCCTACAATATTGTATCAGCCGCCTGTTAAATCAGCACGATGGCTCATAAGAGCGAGATGTGTCGCGAAGCGAGAATCAAAGTGGCAAAGGCTGTAGTTGGATGCACGTTGAGGATAATCGCCTCTCAGGAATGCACGGCGCAAATCTGCATTCTACGGATGACGCGAATACTTGCGGTGGCACGTGGTTCCCATATCTCTCTTGCGCATCCGGAAATTTATAGCAATTAACACGAGTTCGCGAGCCAATGCGTGGGAGAGTCCGAAGTAGCGATGAATTTAGTTCGAAATACGCACCTATCGATGCATTTGCATCCACGTGGCCACGTAAAGCATTCGCATAAGTAGATATACATTGTACATTTCGCAAATGGATGAAATACGTGCAGAAAGTGATAATCATAATTTTGATACGATGTTACAGAGTTGTAGGTTTTATTGCAATCGTAAAACGACGTGAGATTTATCGTGTTGACTGTGTAAATATTTGGAAATATGATAGATAGCTCGGCCAATGTATCGTGATGCATTTATCACTTGCATATATTTTTACACGCAAGCTCTAAATAATAATAGTTTAGATTGATGGAAATATTATAATTTAAAAAAACAGACTTTCATCAATATTTTGAAAATCTTTGAAATGTTTGAATAATAAAGTTTGTCTCACACATTTCATAAGAGGGAGGGACGGACATATTTCAAAATATTCTACTGCTTTTCTCGTTGGATGGCATATGATAATTCGCTTCAATTTCATTACTTTGAATATCTTTTACAAAAATCTATTTATATAAATCGCGGAATAGTTATTTCAGAGTTATACCGTCCATTCATCTTCCTCTTCGGATACACGTAATTAATTACAACATATTAAACCAAATTTTGCACATAACTTGGGGGACGCTCGACCCTGCGGGGTTAAGAAATTAGTCGCGTAACGCGGTTTGGCGAGGCGAAACAACGACGGAAGCTTCCAGAAATGCGAAACACGGTGGGAATTCCTCCGTTAAGCACGATCGAGCCACGCGAACCACGAAGTCGTAACCTGCCATGCCACCGGCTACACGGCACAACTATGCACGTGCGCAGCTATGCACGTGCGCTGTGAGAAGAGAGAGAGAGAGCCGCCTCTCGTGACGCTGCGTTTGGTCCAGCGTATCTCTCGGTAGCCAGCCCCGTTCTGGTCGTTAGCATCTATCTTCTCCGCGTCTGTTAGCCTCCCTCTGGTGCTTCCACTTAACTCTGCCGTGCCCTGCTTTGTTTCACTCGTCAGGCAGGATTTTCAATCTATCCGAATCTTCATTAATCGTTCTTTGATTACACGATCGGAAATTAAAATCAAAATGTTTTAATAAAATAAGAATTTTAATTTCTCAAGATTTTTCAACTTGCAAAGAAATTAACACGCATATGAACATTAAATTTTATTATTTTTGGAAATTGTATTCTTATTATGAAAATATATTTCAAGATTTTTTATCACATCAGATACTCTAGTATATAATTCATAGAATACGATCATAATTGCAACATTGCGGAGTAAAGTCGATTGTCCATAAAGAGCAGCGATATTATTACGACATGTTGCTAAACCTGTGTGTATTAAGAGACTAGGTAAAGTTGAGCCGGCAAACTTATTATTATTGGTTTCGTATCAGTAATCGAACGACCTAATTTAATTCGACAGCACGGAATCGCCAATTAGCGCGAATTATTATGATTACGATACTCGAGCGATAATAATCGAGCGAAACACGCCGCGATTCGAAATCTCGTTCGAAGGGATTCGAATTATGATCGCAGGTACAATAAGGTGCAAAGCAAACATTCTGCAATCTTATCGACGCGCTTTAATCGCGATAGTTTTATCTCTTAACGAACATACCTGATTCCCGTTATCGATTCGGGAAATCATACTTGGAACATACATAGTTGTGTGCAGTTGCATACTTCGAAGCACTAGCGTTTCATAGAAATACAAATTTTTAATTTTCAAAGATCACGTCTGCATACACGAGTGCATTGGAGGAAAATGCAAATGGGAAAATATAATTTAAATCCCGGAATAATTTGGGAACAGAATAGAGCAGAACGAGATAAGAGTGCAAGACAAAATAAAATAGTCTTTAGAAAGCGAAAGAAAAATTATGAGACGTCGGGGACAGATGTTAACAACTATGACAGCACTAACTAGCAAGAGAAAAGGCTGAAGGACCGAATTCCGTGATAATTTCGTTTCTCTCGGCACATATACGTTATTGTTTATGTGAGTGAGACAAAATATATGTTAGCTATAATAGATTACTCCGTAGCGAGATACGAGATCTCATTTACAGCATCGCGGATTCGTGTTATATAATGCCAAAGTACAATGTTATTAAAGCATATTTCAATCTCAGCAGTTGTAATTTAACTGAAACTATGCGACGAATTAAATCACGCTCTTGGCGACAAGAAGGATACCATCTGTCCAACGACTTTACACTCATTATACGACCAATAATTAATTATTACTTGCTATACACGATTGGTGGAAAAAAATTCACATCAACGTTATAATAAGTATTGTATAATTTTCGTGAAATATCGATTGCGACTTTTCAAAGACGTGAAAAGATCGAGAGGAATCTGAACTCTGTTACGAATCCAATAGCAGCAGCAACGGCGCATAAAGTAGCGAATCTCACCGCGGATGAGCCATTATGCTCAAAGGCAGTGCGCCAGGCATTTCGCCGGGATATTGGCCGCTTTGAATTCAGATTGCGCGGCCATGCGGCCTCCGCGTTTTTGTTCTTCCTCTTTCGCAGACAATTTATGCAATCTGGCCCGCGTCGTACGCGTATTTATAACCGCCGGCCCTTTGTGTGTTAATTCTGTATTTGTGTATTACTTGAATATCTCCGATCTTGCAAGACTTGCATTTCTTCGACTTTTGATCTTTGCTACGTCTTCGTGGTTCTTTATATCCGCACTTATTAATTGAGAAATGTTAAATTTAAAATATAGCACGATTGTATTAATTAGAAACTAGAAACTTAATTTGTAATTATTTTTGTTGAAATATATGAGAGAAAAATTAATGTATAAAATATAACAAAATATATTTAACAAGATGTATTTCAAGCTGTAAATTATTCAGCGTTTTAAAGATATTCTAAAAGTGAGAGATATTTATTTTTGATACTTATAGTAGGTAATGTTTACATATCGATTATATTATTATTTCAATTTTTATTAATTAAATGCAATAATGAAGTCAAGTCTTTCTTTAATTGCATCACTTGTTAGAAAAATGTGAAAACATATAACTGTCATCGCTCTTTAAAAGGACCAGACAGACGCGTACGGTATGCGTAAGGAAAAATCCAACAGGAAAAAAATCTACGCCGGGTTAGGGCGAATGATCGACTTTGATCTCCGTGATTTTTATAGAAGCATCTCGCGTCGCGCGGCTTGATATTTTGCGGCTGTCGCGACTCTTCGGTGGAAATCCTGCAGAAATTGGAGTGGTGCCGTCGAGAGATGGGAAGATTTCGCGAACGGCTTCCCCGATGTCTCGCCGAAGTGCAATGCACTCGTTCAAATAAAAGTTCTACGAAACGAGGAGGCCGTTCTTTTTCGAATTAGCCCCCAATTTCTTTCCCATAACTAAGGAAGTGCACTTTATGACCGGCGGCTTGCTTTTTCTGTTACAGCGTTGAAGGTGAAGCTCATGCTGAGGCGACCCATCAATCAGCTGGTTGCGCAAGGCATCATGCCATGTAAGTATTGATCCGTTTGTTTATTATGCCATTTACATCTTGTTATTTTTTCTTAATCGTACGCCGCGAAAAATTGCATTTTTAGTAGAACTCGAGGCTGTTAAATCTTGTAGATATTGCGATCTGCGCAGCTGTCATTACGTAGTTACTGAACATCATTGTCTGACTGGTCTTCGCATTCTTAAAAACATTTTCATTCGGATAGCTTGATGCATGCGCGAGTCAATTTATCGAGTCTTTAATTATAGCCCAGAAATTATATAAAAAGTAAGGCTCTTATATCTAGGACACTTGATTGTGATAAATTGCTTTGCAACGATTAAAGAAATTGGTAATTATCGATTGTTTTTTTATATTAAGTAAAACGAATTAGGTCTCTTCCGCATCAATTAATCTTGTAATAATTAAATTGGATCATTCCAGAAGAAGATCACGAGTTGACTATCCTACTAAAATAAAAGCTGCAAGAGCGCTCTCTCGCTCCTTTATAACACAAGCCGTTTCCGCAATAAACGATTCGATTCTTTATCGTATCGCGGGATGAACTAAATTCTTGTGACATGCGAGAGGTAAATGAAGAAGCAAAAGTAAAAACACTTCGCGCGACACGCTTCGTCGTCTTTCGCTCCCAAAATCCCCGAAGCGATCAACGGTATAAGAGCGGCAGTTTCTAGTTGCCCGGTAGATTTACGATGGGCACCAAATGTTTACCAGAACGAGAGCACTGGCATCCAGTAATTATTTGGGTCACACCCTAAAATATTGCTCTTGTTACCGTCCGCGCGCCGGCGCGTTTTATAGCGCCTCGGCATATATTGCCGGGCTGATGAAAATACGCACTTTGATAGGCCCCGTCCGTCTTTATGCGCATCCGTGTGTATATGCATTTCCATACCGTGTGGGATTCATTCATTTGTAACCCCCTGAAGAAGCTTTAAAGTCGCTTAATACACATCTGCGTTCCGAGGATAATAGTCGCTTTCGCGGAAAACCGTCCGGAATTGTGTTATAAAGTTCCAGTTTCTTCCAGAAATCGATGCATTTCTGCGAAAAGTTTTTCGTTTATCGGCAGTCATTATTGCTAATAATATTTTACTGCAATAATCTTATAATATATTTTAAAATTTAATTACGAGCAATGGCTATTAAAATTTTATGTTACTAAAAATTTGGTTTATCCTTTATAATATTTTTTAACAATACCTATTATTTTATTATAGATCTATAAGATCATATTACATGTGTGAATAATAAAAAAAAGTTAATTGCTCTATTCTAAATTACATATATTATTAAAGTGAAAACTTTTATATATAAAAGACTCGTTAAATAGCTATAAATACTCAGTTGAATGAAATTATATATTAATGCGTTTACGACGATGTTAATCTGTCCATATTAATTTATCTACGAAGTTTATTACTTCGCTTCGCAACGAGATGTTTGCCAGATTGTAACGCATCGTATCATCAAGTTCATCTCCGCATACTCGTCATACGCATCGCGAAGTATACAACGAGCAAATACAAATAGACCTACACGATTTGCTCCCGAGATGTCAATCGTCGTATAAAGAGAGAAAGAGAGAGAGAGAGAGATCGCATTTTCGTATTTTATTTCCCAAATCTTGAGCTCACTCCAACCGCGAAAGACGACGTTTATTGCGGCAAATTAACGACGCCCCTCAGACACTTCATATGAGATTAGAATAGGCGTCGCAAGGACGTCAGACGTCTCGGAGCCTCTGAAATCTCGCGCTCAGAAGGGAACGAAATGACAGAAGTTTCGAAATAAGGAAGAGAGCACAACACAGCACATTATATATTAAAATTATATATAATAACATTTATATAAAAAGATATAAGTACTTGAAAAAAATATAAATGATAAATTTCGTTATAGATATATATTTTATATATATGTAAATAGTTTATAATTATCTCGCACGTATTTACAGTACAATTTTCAGCGAGAAGTCGCAAAAAAAATTCTTTTTTCATTTATTCTCGTATCTTCATAACAGTAACTGTAAATTCTCCGTAACGAGTCGAAGAATAATATCCGAGGAAACGTTGCATCTCTCTCTCTCTCGCAAGGGAATTGCATTCGCGATTAATCTCGAAGTTGCTAAAAAAAACCCGCGATCGGGAGGGAAAGAGTCGCCGACGTGTCCTGTTGAAGATGGAAACTTACGGCACACGCGGTACGTTAAAATACCAGGGCGTGCTCGTGTATTTTCACATTTCCGTCGCTATACTGTGGCGTAGATGATGCGTAGGTACACGCACTTTTATTCCGCGCAAATGACTACGTCCGCGTCCGGAAATACATAGCAGTAGGAACACGCTTCGGGGATCATTTATTCGGCGACTTAATGGTGCTGAAGAATGCGAGGAGCGGAGGACGCGTCATGTTGACACCAAAACGGCGCCATGCATTTGAGAGTCAAACTGATGCTTGCAACATGTTTGCGACATCGCGAATCGAGAACTTCAGCATCTGCTTTCTTCTTTTTATTTATTTGTATTTTTTAAGAAAATTTATTTGATCGAAATCTACTTGCCATCAGAAATGACAGCCTCCGCGATTATCGATTATTGCGTTATATTTGCGCAAGCAAAAAGTTTGCGATGTACTAGTCATGCGTAAAATTGATCGCGGCGGGAAGAGCAAATAAAATGCGATTTGAGAGACAAGGATGTTTTCTTTCTCGCACACACAGCGCTGAAAACGCCACCGGCGTTTCACGAGCAACGGAAGCAGTTGGAGCGAGCGAAGACGGGCGATCTGCTAAAGGCAAAGATCCAGCAGAGACCGGGCAGGGACGAGCTCGTCCGACAGCACATCCTCGAAGATGTGGGTCATGTGGATCCGAGCCTGGCCGAGCGGCAGCGGATGCTGAAGAAGGCCAGGCTAGCCGATCATCTCAACGATCAGCTCAGTCATCGACCCGGACCGCTCGAGCTCATCCAAAAGAATATCCTTCATACTGAAGAGCCCATCGAGAGGGCAGTCAAAGGTATCTCTATCTCGACAACCTTTACTAAAATAAAATAGCACGATACGAGGATTTGTGATGTATTTTAAAAAAATGCAGTATGTAAAAATAAGCGGACTAATTAGTATATTTTATCAATTGCGATATAACGTTACGTCACCTTCGAAATTCATATCAAAGATTTTTGCAATCTTCCATCAATTATTTTTTACGATTTTTCACAATTATTTTTCTTTCCCCAGAGGGTCACATTCCCTTCAAGGCCACTTGCGAGGGGCAAGTGACGAAGCCTCAGCATCCGGACCACTACATTACCTTCGAGGATGACTCTCAGAGCTCGGAGGGCGCGTCCTCGCCGCAACTGGAGTCGCGGTCGTCAGATGTTCTGGAAACCGCGGCGGCCTCCGCGGGCATCGTCACAGTTTCCCTCAGCATCCCGACGACCGGCGGCGCCGTTGTGGTTTCGTCGACGTCCCCCGTGTTCCAACAGACATCCACGGAACCGACGATACAAACCTTCGCCGATCTTTGCAACACCGTCGTAGGCACGTCGCAACAGAGTCAACAACAACAAATTCAACAGGCCCAGCAGCATGCGTCTACGCAGGTAAATTTGGAGCAACAACGATAGATCCTTCACCCTGTTCGGTTCATTGAGTCGGATATGAGAGCGTTTTTTACACAACAGCAAGATTAATTTCCTCAACATTAATTTCTAAACATCTAAATGATGACAGTAAAAGCGTGAATCAAGCGAAGATTGATTACGACCATAATTCTAATATATTTAGGAAGTTGTCAACAAAATTACATCGACTATCTCGTGAAAGTTAAAAAACTACCGGGCTATATATCTGTCCCTCTTTCAGGCGAGTCAGACGACGAATGGGCCGTCGACAACCCTTCTGCCATTGGCGCCGGCGCCGAGCCCGATGTCCCTGGGCTCGACCACGTCCAGCCTAAGTCCTCTATCCAACATCTCGATAGCGTCGCCCCCGGCGCCGCCGCCGGCGGCGATTACCCCACGGCCCCAACCGAGCCCGATTGCCGCGGCCGCAGCCGTCACCACGTGCCAAAGGAGCGACGCCCCCGGTAAGGACAAGAACAGAAAGAAGTCAAAGAACAAGAGCCAGCCCAAGACCCGCACGATCAAATTCCACGAGTATAAAGTAAGTTCGCTTTCAATTTATTGTGTCAACATTTCGGCGGCGAGAACAACCGTGTCATTCTGTGTGACTTGCACAAACGAGAGCAATACGCGAAGACGTTCGCGCGTCTCATTGCTTTTCTTTTTTTTTTTAATCGCCAAAAGAGCTGCAGAATGATACTGTGCGTTCTCGTCTGGAGATATATCGATTTTATTACGCAGAGCGCATTATGTCTTCAGAATGACCATTGAATCGCGAAAGTTATTAAGGGGTATTCTCGAAGAGCACCGAAATTCTGACATCGCTGTGTATGTGTATGTGTGTGTGCATGTTCACAGTCGTCTCGTGAAATTTTTAAACATAATCCATGTTGCGTAATAGCAAGCCTGATTGACGAATCGAGCATTTGCATACTCTTTTTTTATAATATATCTGTATATTTTATATATATATATAGATATTAATACAATCAATAATTTATAATAATACGCTATTAAAAAAGAAATAATAATTTCTACATGCTATATTTCGGCTACAATTTTGATTTTGTTTAATAATTGATTTGATAAAATGGTATGTGGATGCTGGTGTAGAGATTAGTAATTACTAGTGAAGTACAAGAAAATTAATTAAATATAACTTTCAAATATTAATATATTAATTTTTATGAATAGCGGTAGCGTATAAAAATTTCTCAAGTTAAGCCGCTTGCTTTGTATAAAATTCGAGGAGAAAAAAATGTACCGGAAATTCCTCAGTCGCGATACACGGCTAAAACGCGACGGACGAGATGCAAAGTATCTTCTTCGATCTGAGGCACGGCCGAGAAGTGTATATACAGAGGCGCGCGATAATTATCGTGTACCCGGGACCGCCGGGTGGCACTACAAACTAGTTCTCGTGCGCAAAGGGTCCGGGCTAACGGAGAGCCGCATTTCGGCGTGGCAACGAGCGGGGCAAAAAGACGAGACGAGCAAAAAAATAACGCCGGCTCGAGAGCAAGAAGATGAGAGAGGGAGGTGGCCGAGTAGGAAGAAGGCGAGGTAAAAACAAGTACGGAGCACGAACCGTGAATCTCGGCTGCGGTGGACCGCCGCAGCGGAAAGACCGGGGCCCGGAGGAACAGCCTCGGAGGGAGATCGTATCGGGCGATTAACTCTCGCAATCTTTCGAGAAAGGGAGAGAGAAAGAGGGAGGACCCACCTCGTTAGCTCTGAGTAATTCGAGCGCTAATTGCACCTAAGAGCGAGGAAGCCAAGGAGCGACGAGAGCGGACCATCCGCGCGGGGATGGTCCCTTCCTCCTGTCCCCATGGGTCCGATAGACCTCCGAACCGAGTCGTCCAGGTCCAAAACATCCGAGATATGGCCTGGTCGGTGTGAAAGCGAGCTGGGAATGGGCGTGCAAATGAGGGCGCAGAAAATATCTTGATGTATCATTTATCACTCGGCGCGGACCTGAACCGGAGCTACGTCACCTACCTTCGTCTCCTTCTCGCGATACACCGGGAACATCAGACGGTGATGTCAGGAAAAGTATCTCAAATCTGTTGACGGGGCGTGAGTAGCGTTACGTAAAAGCGAGATGGACAAAGGGTTTATTCTTTGGGAGTTTTGTGAGTCGTCACGATTACTCGATCGTCAAAGGAACGAATGGTCAGATGCGTGTTAGGTTTCTACACGTTTTCTTTATGGTATAATACAACTAGACTTTTTGTTACAGGGTCCGCCAAACGCGCAGAAGACGCCGGCGTCGTCTAACACTTCCGGTCTTGGCGTTACGCCACCCGGTGAGACCAGTTACGAACTGCTCCTACAGCAGCAACAACTGTTCCTTCAATGGCAGCTCGAGTGGCAACACAAGGTATAGACGCATGCAACAATTAAATATTTTACATTCCTCTCACGATTTCGAATTTTTCGTACACAAGTGTTTCAGCATCTCAGATTGTTTTTTTAAGAGCCTTATTATAAGAAATTTTGAAAATCACTTTTTAAATATATTAAATATATTAAATCAGCATTTGATGCAAAACGAATATTCTATTGACGAGAATACGAAGATTAAAGCATTTTTTTTACACAGTATCCACAGATTATCTTGCCAGCAGCGCAGAAACCGTTGTCGCTCACAAATAGCGGTGCAAGCGACGCTGGTAGCGTAAGCGGAAGCAGTGCGAACGCTGCCAGTCCAGCTCCTTCGAATTCTTCAAACAATCCTTCGGAGCAGCCTCCGTTGAGGCCCCTGGGCAAATTGGAGGACATGAAAGGTACCAAAATCACATCACTAATACGAGAAAAATTCGCCACGAAGAACAGAAAGAAAATGATTTCGCACATCGCATTCGCAGTGAGCGATCTCAAGGTGGAATTGAAACGACGAAACTTGCCGGTGTCGGGACCGAAACCGCAATTGATCGAGCGATTGAAGCCCTTCACGGAATCATCTAGTAGCAATTCGACCTCCAACGGACCGCATGTGACGCATATGGGCCACATCTTGATGGATACACCCGGCCCGATGGCGACGGACGAGTCCAGCTCTCAGGTCAAGAGTCCGATTTGTATCGTGAAGGACGAGCCGAATAGTCCACGAACAGCCTCACCTCACAGTAGCGAGCACGATGATCCATTGAGTCCACCAGGTAAAAAACCGTCATCTGAATACTTCTTTATTGTATTAAACGCCACTTTAAGTTTTTGATGCGCGCGCGCGCGCGAGAGAGAGAGAGAGAGAGAGAGAGAGAGAGAGAGAGAGAAATGAAAACTTTCGAACGAAGCTGTTGATTCGAGAGACAGCACACACGTGGGTGTTTTTACGACGCAGTTCGTGTTTCAGGAGATGATATCATCAAGGTGCAAAGGAGACGGATAGAGGAATTACAGCGTGAACTGTATAAGTCGCAACAACAACTCCAGCAGATCCGCCAGACCCAGCCGGCCACGGTACGCGCCGAGAAATTGGTTCTCCAACAACACATACAGAACAAGATGCAACAACAACAGCTACAATTACATTTGCAACAGCTTCAACATCTACAACAACAACAGCAGCAGCAGCAGCAACAGCAGCAGCAGCAAAATCAACAACAGTCGCAGCAGCAAACGCAACAACAAGCCACGCTCCAACAACTCAATGCAAAGGCGAATCTCGCAGCCTTTTTACAGGCACAGCCGAACAATGCGACCGCTATTCTCGATTCCGCGACTCTAACTGCAATCAACAACAAGAAGAATCAGTCCAAGAATAGCACTACTGTTCAAATACCTACAGCGATAGTTCTGAATCTGGCAAAGCCGACCAAGCTAAACGGCTCGCTGCTCGGTGCTCTTGTGGCGCAGGCACAAGCTCAACAGCAGCAAACAACTACTACCTCTGATGACAGCAAGCTACCGCCACCGCAATACGATGAAGCCGCTAAGTTGCTTAAGGTGAGTACCACTTTCAATTATAATTTTGCAAGATTTTGATGTAGAATAAGTTTTATAGTGTTTTAATTTGTATTACAAAGCTGTAGCGCATAACTTTTACAATGTTATAAACATACAGCCTTGTGTTTTTATATTATACACATTTTATTTATACAGGTCAAAATAGAGCCGGTCCAAAAGAGTCACATAAAGAGTCAAGTGGTCGACGACGTCTTAGAGATTCTCATCAAGAATGGTGAATTACCGCCAAGTGCCGCGCAAGATCCGGCTACTCCTACGACTCCGAATCGTCAACTACAACAAAATCTGGTCTTCACTGCGCCAGCGGATAGTCCGACTCAGTCGTTGGTCTTTGCCGCCGCCAGTCCAATGAGTCCGATCAGTCCGATACCAATGGATGTATCTCAGAGCGGTTGTTCGAGTCCATCAACACCTGCACCGCCGCCACCACCACCATTACCACTAACGGCATTTTCCATTCAATTACCCAGTGCATTGCAACAACTGCAACACCAGGAGGAGATCTCGTCCTTCAGCACAGATCTTCTAACTACCGAGGCCGAAATGGATACCGCAATGTTGCTCAGTCCTCAATCGACGCAACAAGCATCCCCAGACCCTCAACCGCCACAAGAAGTCACTTCTTCGGACAACGCAAATTTAGATCTCAAAGTAAGTCTTCCTTCTTACTTCTTAGGAAGAAATTTTGTTGAGAATAAAGTTATTTAAAATTATTTTCTAGCATATTAATTAAAATAATATATAATATATATATGATTATAAAAATGAAAATAGCACTGTTATTAAAATTGATATCTTATTCCTCAGGAACTAGGATTGGATTTGGAAACGTTAGATCCGATGGACTTTGTCCAACTAGATTGCGACATGCCAATGGATATGGACGATCCCGATTGGCTAGATTCCCTAATGCCACAATCACCCCCAACTTCTACAACATTATCATTATCCAACCATCAATCTACCATACCGTCGATCAGTCTCTCGTCCGCCACGGATATCTATGATCCGCTCTTAGGCAGCAATCAATACTCCTTTGATCTCTTTAACATGGAAGACCCCGACTTCAAAATGTCGTCCGACTTATCTCCAATGACGTGGGACAAAGTAGACTTCGCGACCTAGCCCGAGATACTCTCTCGTAATTCGGCGTTATGTACTTAATCTTCAGTAAACAATCAAAAAAATATATATAATTCGAGAGAATGAGACACAGGAATGTGAACATTCAGATTATTATATTGTCATTTAATCGGATTTATACGGTGCATTTTATATAAATCGTTTCGCGACATCCCTCTTTACCTCTGATGCATCTTGTGACGTTATGCATATCGATGTTACATCGAATATGTACTTATATGCGCGCATCGAGACGAAAAGTGTTTCAGCACGTTTTTTACAAATAAGGTATTGAAGACATAATCATACTACTGAATGAGATAAATTCTAATCATACGCGATCGTAATTAACAAACAAAACAAGAACGAGATGAGTATTGATATATGGACCAGTCCTCACAATAGTTTGACGCGCGTGTTATCGCGCATTTTTCCTCGATAAATGATTAATCATACGTTGTTCGATCAATAAACGATCGTTCCGTAAGAAAAGTAATATCTGATAAATGCTTAAAATGAGCTTTTGAGTGTTTTCTTTCTTGCATTCATGCGAATTAAAATCCTCCATTAAATAGCAATGTGCGAGAATCAGAATGTGGTTAACGCTCCTATATATTAAAGAAAAAAAGGATATAACAATAGTTCCGGAAACAATTGCGGTACTTTCAAAATTCTCCAAAGAATCAGCTTACGATACGTTTTTTAAGCTAGTTTTTACTGTCCAGTCGTGTGTTGCTTGAATTTTAATAACGGCGAAAAATAGCGTGTGTGTCAGAGAAAAGAAGACGAGAAACACTGCGTATATATGATCTTCTCGCGAATAAACCCCCCTATACCCTAAATCGCTCTATCCTCTGCTCTCCCTTAATTGTAATCAATCGTAACATAACCGCATAATTATACATAATTACAGAATCTAATATAATACAATAGTAATAATAATTATTGTGTAAAAGTATACATATATATGCATATATATATATATATATATATATATATATATATATATAAATATATACATATACACACGTATACACATATGTAAAATATATTTCTATATATGCGCTTGACGCCTGCGAATCGAGTAACATTCGAATTACGCGAGTTCGAGGATTTTTCAGCGCAGCTATAAATATTTTCTAAGCCACAGAGCATGTGATGTTAGGAATTATTGCGTATTTTAATTGATAATCATTAAAATAATAGAGATGAAAGAGAAATCATGGGGAAAGGCTGCGCGTGAACGAGCTGCACAATCGTTTCGGTTGCCACGGTGCGGTCCTTCGATACTTCTCCCGCGACTAATAATTAATCTTTTTGACGTATTGCGACATTCCATGTTTCCAAACTACGAACAAGAGAGATCAAAGCCACGCGAGCCGCAACCATTACGCACATCGCACATTAAGCGATCGTTATATTAATCGAGGGATCTTGTTTCAGAAATGTTGCGATTGTTAAACTCTGTAAAACTCTGTCGTCGTGCATATTTCTGAAAAGTTCTTCGGAGACCAAGCGGCTTCGCGCGTCGACGTAATGACGAAGGACCACGCCGGCGAGCTCGGTTATAAAAGAAATAATATGTATGCATGTATGTGTATGTATGTACGTGTATTAGTATGTGTATTTTAGTGCGTGTTTCCAAGAACGCGAATGCTGGTCTGAGGGATATAAGAGAATCTTGAATTAATTGCAATATGAAAAAATTGTAACATTTGCATGATAAATTAATTATTTTTGGGAAAAAAATCCAGATGTTTATCTGTATAATGTATAAAAAATATTTTAATAATGCAAAATTAATATTTTCTTCTCTTTTCTCTACTTCTTGTTTTAGAAATTTTTTTATCTAAACATTTTTATTATTTCCAATATTTAAAATTTTTAAGATATTTTAATAAGATTTTAATAAGGAATATATCCAAATTTTATTAAAATATTACGACTGCAGGTTTTCTTCTATGTATGAATAAATGTATGTGTGTGATATGTATTAATGCTTATGGACAGCGATGGTGCTAATCGAAACCCCAATACACACTGCGATCGATTTTTCGAAAAACGTCGCGGTTGTAGTTTTTAGAAAGTCCTAACGTAACGTTCCGAGTTTTCCGAGTTTTAATGTGCCTCGAAGTGTCAATTCCCGGCGAGCTTTTTAGTTCTATGCGGGACTGATATTGTATAAATAGGAAAAAAGAGAGTAAAAGAGAATATTGTATTCAAGTTGTTAGTTTCAAATGAGAGACGATAATCGAAGTCTGTTTCCGCAGTTTCATTAGTAAAACGGCACATCGGCCCGCGATCATCATCACTTCCTCTTCCCATGTTCACCAGAGAAGCAGCAAAAGAAAAAATGCAACATTCCAAATATATTCATGCTCTACGGAGAATCCTCAAGATCTCGAGGTATTGCCATGTTCCGTGTGCTCGATAGAAAGATGAGGAAGAACGCGATGGAAGAACATGCATCGTAATGCATCGTTGAATTCGTCGAGACACGTGCAGAAGTAATTAAGCCGGAACTCAGTGCATTTAATTAGAAACCGGTTTGCCTTTCCTCCTCCTCTAGAATTCTTTTGACTTTTAGAACCGGTCGCAGAAACGTTTCTTTTTTTTTTTTTTATTGGATAAGCGAATTTGATTTCGCAAATCTTGTGAATTTCACAGAGATTAATCGTGCCAATGTGAAATCGAAATGTATCGATATAGTATAGTATCAGTCGATGTTATTAAAAGTATCGTTTTTTAAAGCAACGCTATTAATCAATTTATAATGCTGCCGATTGTTTGTAAAAGATCGCGCGCGAATGTCATTGCGTTTTACTAACATTTGCATTTAACGTCTCGCTTTCGAGTCGCTTTCTTCCGCCGTTGTCTGAAGCTTTCAACCCCGAATCGTATCGTTAAAGCTTCTAAATTAATGATATTTTTTTAAAACAAGTATGGCCTGAAACAGATGACTGTCAAAGCAACCGGAACATGGCATTCGAGGTGAACAATAAAAGTGCCAAAAAAGAAATGAATATCCCTTGCTATTAGCGTCACTTAGAAAAATCATCACACACATTTCACCATCCCTTGCCATGACAATAAAAGTTTTATTGTTCTGTAAAATATTGTATATATATAAATATACATAAAAAATATTTGAAAGAGAGAGAAAGCTAATGTATGCTTACGCGTGTGTATGTGTTTGTATGAATACGTGTATTTTATGCAGAGGCAAGCTTGACGAATTTATATAAGATAATCGAAGGATAATTATACAATAAAAGTTCAGATTATCGTAAAAAGTTTGCATCTCTCCAGTTTATCGAATTTGCGTCGCAGCGTGCATCGTGCTAAACGTTGTAATAGCGGAATTATTTCAATTACAAGTCGTTCATCATGATTTTGCCGATGATTGATCGATCTGTCAGGCTGTGCGAGAATCTGTTAGTCTGTCGTGTGTAGTGCGTCTGCGGTGTATGTGCGTATATGTGTGGATAAAATGAATCTTTATAACTTGCGAGAGCAACCCAGGACGAAATAAACGCAGCCAAGCAAGATGTAAAGCACATAAACCGATCGCATCTATACATATATGCAGAGCTTCATCGAGTATATAATGAATCGCGCGATTGCATCAAGAGGAAAGAAATATAATAGTGTCGCATGTGAACACACATTTTATACGCGCATTGCAAGAAGAAGATGGTATACATAAGTATTTTGTTATTAAGTATCATTGAATTTATTGTAATGAGATATACTCTTAAGTAACGATCACGTAATTATTGCTAGAGAGAGTGTTATTTATTTTTATTTGTTGCGAATTTATCGATTGCCTTCCATTTGAGTAAAATAAATAAATACAAAGTTATTCGCTAAACACTTGTTATCTTTCTTCTACTTTCTCATCCTTTTCGTATTATCATTGTTAAATTGCATAAAAACAATGTATAATAGAAAGAAGCAAGATAATCAGGGAAAGAGACAAAGAGTAAGGAGATGGCACAAATTAAAATTCATGGATTCATGAATATTCTTGCAATTTTCTTTCTTTATTTTATAAATTGTGTATTATCTCTTTGCTAGTTATATTTTTCTAATATTTTCATTTAATCTTTACTACTTTTACGTTTAGGTTTTCCTAATAAAATATTAATATTAAAATTTAAAGAATTTCTAGAATATCAATTCTTAAAATTGTATTTATCTTTTTGTTTTAATTACATTTTCCTGGTATTTTTCCAACTTTTTTTAAATGTTGAAATTATTGCATTTAGAAAAGTCTAACCAAGTTTTGAGATTTCTTGAAATTTTATTTATATTGTGTCTTTATAAGTTATAATTTTTTAAAATCTTATTTATTTTTTTGAGATTTAAAAAAATTTTTTGACAATTTAAGAGGTACTGAAGGAGAGCTTTGTTCTGTCCAATTTTGGCGAAATATTTCAGAGAGAATTTTCATAAAATTATTATCCAAAATTTAAATAAAAATTAATGAGACTCACCGATACGATGCACAGCAGCCACAGTTGTAAACTGTAAAATATAAATACACGGAATAAAGTAAATAAATAACAGTATAATAAAATAAATAATAAATAATATTTACCATATAGTTGTTCCACCGTTGCCCGATGCCGCCCCGGGCATTCTCGTAGAAGAAGCACTTACACTCGCGCGTTATTTCTTTTCATTCGCGACAAGCAGCGAGGCTCGGGTTTTAATAATCACAATTTTCGACGCGTTTCGATAAAACGCAAGAGCTTATTCGCGCGCGAATAAATGCTCCATTTTCGTGTCGCCGCTTTTTTCAAGATTATTATCGGAAGGCCTCATCGAACAACGATGGCGATTCTCCCTCGCGACGCACTCAGGAGTCGCCGATTAAACGCAAATTATGAACCTAATTCGTCGCGCAACGATATCTGTCAGTAAAGTACAACCGAAAACGCGCAGACGACCGCTTAGAATGCGATCGACGCCGAAAAACTCGGAAATTTTCGCGTCGAAAACGCTCGGATTTCTCGCGATCCGCCTTCGTGAATTTGCGCGCGCAAACTTTGGGCGGCCCGACTTGATGCCGCGACTTTACGTATATGCATTTTCGGATGAAAAACGAACGTTGAGTGAGATTCGCGACCGACGAGATCAATCTCACGCGTACGATCGCGATCACGGTGCCGATGTATGCGATGCGATCGGATTTATACGTTAATTAAGACGCTAATTAATGCACGTACCTTTGCGGAGCGACAATAAGCGCGCGAACGTTGCAGCACGAATAATGCGAAGTACACCAGAGAGCGAAGTCTAGATTACGTTTGAAAATGTATTCACCGAAGCGCAAAACTTGACCGACCAATCGGAGGCCGAGCAGCTTTTCGTCCTGATTGGCCGATCGAGCGCTTCGCTCCAGGGGGTCGATTTGTGTAACTTTTTCTAAAGAGAAAATGTGAAAAGTGAAAAATTTCTTCCAATTACATATCAATTTCATTTTAAAATCAATGCGTGATTGCACTGTTAAATTCCTTGTGTTAAATTTCATCTAATTTGAGTTATTTTTAATCATTCCTATAGGTCGCCACTGCTCCTATTCAATATGTTGTTAATTTAACTAAAACAATGGAGTTAAATTGAGTTAAAATATTTCATTTGCAAAAATTTAAAGCAATCAGATACATTTTGATTATTTAATTGCTATACAATATTTTGCGGTGTGACAAAAATTAAAATACAATAGTGTATACTGTCAGAATACTACAACCATTTGTAGTCAAAACATTTGTAGTATTTCAATTGCGTATTTAAATAATCTTTGCACCTCTCCGAAGAAGCTTTTAATTTTGCGTTCTTTGCACAATTGGCTGCATATATCTAAAATTTAATTCTATCTAAGACAGCTGTTTTTTGAGAACACTATACAAACAGCTCTTTTCGGAACACTACTGCAATCAGCTGATTTCTTGCGCGATGTGTTTATGCCATTTTTTAAATTAGTGTATTTTATAGTATATATTATTTTATTTGTATTTTTTATTATCATAAAATGTATATAATTGAGGAAATGCTACGGCTTGCAATCAATGTACAAAATAATATATAATATAATTCAGCAATTAACATCGTTTGACACGAGCTTGACACATAGAAAGGTTAGAAGAAGTAATCTCTTAACTAACTGGCAATATAAAGTGTCAAAATTATCAGGTATGAGAATTATTAATTATCATTTTTCGAGTGAATATGAACTTGTCAGCATTAATTGACAACTATATAATTTCTATGTAGTTTCTTATGTAATTTTGATCTTTTACTTGTTCTTAAAAATTTTAACGTAATAACGAAATTGTTCAGAAAAATATTATTACACAAAAGTAATGTCAATTATTAATTTGTTATTTAATAATTTATTTATTCGTTTATTTTTTTAAAGTTGTGTAATTTATATATACATATATGTATATTATCTACATATTCACTTTTTCATGATAAATTTTTTTGTTTTACGATATTTATTTATATAATAAGAAATTAAAATGTTATAATAGTGATAATGAAACGTAAAGCCGAATCGAATACAAATAAACCAGCGACTTTAAATAAAAGTCACTGGTCTGCTGGTTTACTTAAATCAATGGAGGATCCTGAAAGTATAATCAAGGAAGATGACAGAATAGTTGTTATTAAAGATAAATATCCTAAAGCACAATTTCACTATTTGGTTTTACCAAAAGAGAATATACTTTCCATATGGCAAGTGAAAAAGAATCATCAAGATTTATTAATGCATATGCATGACATTGCTCGTGATCTTGTAGAAAATCAAACAGATCATGAATTCATGTGAGTTTTAAATTAAAATAAAAATAGTAGTATTAATAATATAATGACGAGGTACTAATATGTAAAAAAATATAACGAATAAGCAATATATATAAACTGAATTATATTTGTATATTTGAAATTATATATACTATAAAACGTTTATAATTCTTGTAGCATAGGATATCACGCGATGCCAAGTATGCAAAGATTGCATTTACATGTAATAAGCACGGATTTCAATAGTCCTTGTCTCAAAACCAAGTATCACTGGAACTCATTTACGACACCATTCTTTATGCATTCGTCAGGTTTGACTCGATATCCTTATTTGAATCCATATCTTTATTGGATAAATATCTTAGATACAGATTGAATTTTAGATGTATGCCGTCAACTGCGCGAAGAAGGAGAAATTAAAAAAGTTTCTTCGGAGAGATCCAAAGATTATTTAAATACGCAATTAAAATGCCATAAATGCGCAATACAACCGAAAAATATGCCAGATTTAAAAAGGCATATATTAACACATATTGATAAACAAAAACAATAAACTACTGAATGTATATAAAATATTTATAATGTAACATTTTTCTCCTCGATGTATTATTTCTAGAAAAAATAAATTATGAGATATATAAATGTATAATTTATATACATCGTGTTAAATTTATTATATATCGTTTCGTATCTGCATGCAAAAATTTGCAAATTTTGAAGGAATATTTGATACTCAATATATTTTGTGAAAATTAAAAAATTCTTAAATATATAGAAATTCATTTTTAGATATTTTTATATTATTATATAAATCATTTTAAAGAATAGTTGAATAATATTTTTTCATAATTATAATCTTGTAACAAGTCGCATTGTGAAGGAATTTTCTAGGGTAGGAATTTCAGTTCGCAAAATAAATCGAGAGAACACAGATTTTTTATGCGATATTTCGGAAAATTTACTATAAATAAATTTAATGTTATCCTTAATAGATCTTGGCGCCTATAATATCAATTACATTCTAACTATTTACAAAGTCTTCTCGTAGGTTGCGCGAGTGTACATTGACGGTGTGTGTTTTGTACGTATAAGTGTATTATAAGTATGTGTGTATGTGTCGTATATATTATACTTAATCTGTATACATTTAGTAATACTGCAATTTATAGTTGAAGCGTTTCTGCTGTATCGAAACAGTAGGCATCTGAATATTCGCAAGGCCCTGCTGTTATTGCTTGCGTGTCTCGCAGATTCATAAACGGTTCCGCGACGGTGTAAGGGTTCCGATTTTAAGTATTCATCTCCTCTGGGCAACTTTTTCTAGCTTAGTTAAATTAACTATCTATTCTCTTAGTGAACGTAGCGTCTCGTCGTAGTGTCTCTCTCTCTACGAAGTCATGTACGAATAGACTATCTTACTATGATATAATATAGTGAGAAGAAGGTATTTTAACGCACAGAGTCCAAAAAGAGCGCTAGAAATCTTGAAAGCGATGCTCGACGTTAAAAAAAAGTTCGTCAACGCTTCTTGGCCCTTCCGGAAAATCGATGCGTTATCGTACCCCTGAGAAGAAGCACGCGTTCCCATCTGAAAGTTTGCAACGCCTGCATAAAACGTAGAACTCGCAAAGTTTACCGCGATGGAAACGACGCGCCCGATCCGTTCTCCCTATCTCGTATATAGAAAAGGAAAAGATTTTGACATGTGTGTGTGTGTGTGTGTGTGTGTTTGTATGTGTGTGATACGAGATCGGTGATCGGATTTATAGTACGTACTCTCTCTCTGCAGAAAAGAAGCACAATGCTGACGCGTGTGTGATATATATATTTACATATAATCGGAAATATATTATATATTTATCTACGTTCGAAAAAATATATATTATATATGTATATAAAGACTTCGCGCGAATATATATATATATATATGAACCAAAGAAGTTCCGTTGTGACATACGTGCTTCATTTGCGATGGAGAGATTACGCTGCTGAAATCGAGACGCGATTCGCTTAGAAGCGAAAATTTTTAACTAAGGCGATTCTCTCGCGCGATCGATTCTCACTAGAAAAAAGAAAGGGGAATCTGATCGGGACAAGACGATGGTTGTTCGCCCGTTCTCCGTTTTCGTCCGCCCGCACCGTACGCAGCCCGTCAAAAGCGGTCATTTTGACAAAGCCACTGGGCAAGCGAGGACAATGCCGATCCGTAAAAAGAACAACGAATCACCATTTTTTCGAACATTTCACGGCGCAACGCGCGCAACCATCGATCAACCGTTCCAATCGTCCTCCCAATACCCTGTTTATGTCTGCATCGTGCGAGAGAGAAAGGAGGAAAAAACGAGAGATAAATATTCGAGCGGAATCGCGAACGAGCCGTACCCGAGAATCAACGACAATTAAATCTAAGCGCAATTTTAATCTACGAAACGTTTATACACAGTTTCCCTATCTACTATTCACATTTTTTATAAATATTTTATATATATTTTATATATATTATAAATATATAAAATATATACATATATTTTCTTTCGCATATGGATTTAGTAATATACAAGTTTATGTACAAGTTCGGTTTATGGCTCGATTGCGATATCCCTCGCCGAATCGCGTCTCGATTTTCTCTCTTATCAACGCGGCAGTACGTATTTACAATAAACGTGTATACTTAAAAACAGCTAAGTCTAACGACAATAGTTGACGTATAATATAGAATATATATAATATATATATGTACGCAGTAACGTAGCAACAACGCAGTGGTGACGATAGTAATAGATAATAGTAGTAAGAGCGAGATATATATAATAATAATATAAATAGTTATAGAGTCGCAGAGTGTGATGGTAGCGATAGTAACACTAGTCTCTGTAATATTTATATACGACGAGCGTTGCGATCTTTTTTCGCGCGATATTTAAAAAGAAGAAAAATAATCATATTAATCGAAGAATAAATTATTCGAGGCAAGTAACGATAGGAATAAATTAACAAAAAAGCGAGGTCGTGTAATAAAGTAATAATAATTAAATATCTAATTAATATTTTATAAGCGAGGAAAATGAAATAACTCGTAATACTCGACTGTCGCAATAATTACGCGAACGCGACAATAATCGCAAAAATTTCACTAAAAATTATATCATAATAATCAAACTAATGACAACGACATAATGAAACGACGAATACGTTCTAAACAAATTTTCCTAGCGTCGCTTAAAGAGCTAGCAAACTCTCAAACGAGTCTATATTGCTATCTATCTAAGGGTCCTTTCTCAGGCGTGTAAAGTCTTTTGCGAAGGAGGGAAAACGAAGTCGTGTTTTGTCTCGTTCCCTATAACCCGTGTTCTCCATCGCTTCCTCTTTGTACGAATGAACGTGCGGAAGAGTACAAAGAACCGATTTTTCCCTTTTTCTCAATAATTTTCACCTAATTACCAATCGCGCACGCTCGAGTCCGCGAGAGAAGCCACGAAGAAATGGAACTAAGCGGGGACAAAAACGCGTCGTATGGTAAGACAACGATACTTGTTCTTTTCCTACTTACGTATCTACTATGTTACAGAGTAAGTGCTTTTACGCGGCCTGCTCTTCGTAGAAACGCGTTATAATATTTACAGAGAATATTCACGAAGGGGAACAAGAGTACGAACGAGAGTTTAAGGGGAAACGATGATGGACAATGTGAAGAATACTGTCGTGTGTGTGTGTGTGTGTGTGTGTGTGTATGTGTGCTGTGTGTGTACATCGCGAAGAGAGCAAAGATCGCTCGGAACGTCGCGAAATTCCGAGGATCCTTTACAGGCAACGTAAACGTTTCATTAAAGCTGCATGACTCGTTATCCTCCATTGCATTTTTCGTTTACTTTTTGGCTAAACCTCGACTAAATTGACTTCTAATTCGCGGGGTAACGGATGAGGACGCGTTTTTTATTTCATCTAAATATCGCACCCGACGCGTATAAATTTGACTACACTTAGGAATAAAGTACTATAATAGCGGCTGTGCGACGCTGTTGCGAGACGCCTATGGGACAAGAGAAATACTTTTTTCCGGAATGATTTTTTTTCCATTTTTTTTCTCCCTCGAAAGCGCCGATTCGCATGAAAATTTGCTCGTACATTGGATTATCGTGTGATATCTCGAGAATACTAAAACATCGAAATTTATGGACGCGTGGACTTTATTTTCTTTTGCCCCAGGCGACCTCGATCTCACGCCTGAATTGCGTCGCACACGCTGCGAATTCACGCAGCCGAAGCCTTGGCTAAAAATTTCTCTAATCCTCCGTCTTTCCTTCTTTGTTTTAACTACACACGCACAGCTTCGAATGGCCGCGCGCGCGTCGTGCGATTCTCTTCTAAAGGGTCTGACAATAAATAGCGAACGTAAGTAAAGATAATGAACACCGCACGACGGATGATTCTCTACGACGGAGTAATCGCGTTTCGGAATTTTTTACCTAATGAATTTTTGCCTAGAACTGTACAGAGCGCGGTTCGGCGCGCGACGAGTCTACTTAGTCTATTTTTTTACAACGGGCTATACGCGAACAATTGATTCGCCGTCCTTTTTCGTCGGGAACGAGATGATCTTGGGATGATCTCGTCGTTCACTGACACTTTACCGTTGCTCGCTATATGTCCTATATTTCGAATCTCTCCCGAGCGTCCCTTTCTAAGCGGCGGTCGTCTCCTGCAGGCCGTAACAATGGACCCGCATCTCTTCGATAGCTCTGCACCATTCCAATGCGAATCCCTCGGGATCTTCGAGATAGTACGTCCTGTTTGGCTAAATAGAAAGAAGACAGAAATTTAGATATATTGTACTCATAGAGATAGAGTGAAATATTTTCAAGTGCGATTTTGATCTTCAAAGTATAAAAATGCAGTATATCTTATTCATTAGTATAGTAATTTAAAAATACTCACCGTATGAACGAAGAAGATCTTGAAATTTTTCGGTTCGACCCTCAGTTCGGGGCTCCAGGGTATCTCACCCTTGAGCGTTTTAGTGATGGCATCGACATAGTATAGGTGCGGTCCGGTAGTGAGCAGGAGCATTCTTCGCCTGGCGAACAGGCCCTTCCTCTTATTGACGAAGCCCTCCTTTATAATCAGATTACCCTCGACGAAGACGTTCCACGAACTCGTGCGCTGTTTCTCCAGCCGCATCCTGATCTGCTCTGGCGTCAAGTCGGCGATTTTGGCGCCGCCCTCGATGTTGTTGTTGATCCGCCTTCTTATTGACTTTACTACGTTCGCGGTCGTCTTGCTCACGGGTTTGCTGATAGCGCTTTGTTCCCCACCGGTAGTATTGGTGGTGACATCATCATCGTCATCGGTATCCTCGCCGATACCCAGTCCGAGAAGCCTGGTGAGCTGTTTGTCGTCCAAACCAGGTTCGAGATTGTCGGGCACCCTGTACTGCGACCTCAGCTCCTCGTGTTCCGATGTTCCAGGAAGATATGGATAGATCGGTGGTGGTGTCTGCTCGTGGAGGGTCTCGAAGTCGACGCCCTCGAAAAAGGGATGCGCCCGGATGCTAGGATAACCAGAGCCGTGCTCGTCCAGAGCGCCCAGTCGCTGTGCCGGTTCCAAAACCAGGAGTTGACTGACGAGCGACTTTGCCAGCTCGTCGAAACCGTCCGGTATCTCGTACTCGAGTTTCAGGATCTTTTGGAATATCAAGTACTCGCTTCTAGAGCGGAAGGGCGGCAGGCCGGCGACCATCTGGTAAATGATGCAACCCAGGGCCCAGAGATCGGACGCCCTGCTCGCCGTTTTGTCGGTCAGTAACTCCGGTGACACGTATTGAGCAGTACCGACGAAGGAGCCCCTGCGTTCCCTGCGGTAGTGCTGCTGCTGGGCGTCTGGGTCTCCGTCCGAGGCTGTCGTCGTCGTCGTCGTCGTCGTCGTCGTCGTAGTTGTCGTCGTTGTCGTCGTCACCGTTTCTGGATCGTCGAGAATCTTGGCGCTGCCAAAGTCGGTGATTAGCACATGCATCTTTTCGTCCAGCAGGATGTTCTCCGGCTTGAGATCCCGGTGAATGATACCGAGTCCGTGCAGGTACTCGAGACCGCGCAGAATCTCGGCCGAATAAAACTTGGTGCACTCGATGTCGAAGGAGCCCACCTTGTTGATGTATGGCAGGAGCTCGCCGTTTTTAGCGTACGATAGGACGAAGTAGAGTCTCTCACTGTCCTGGAAGGTGCAGAACAAACGCACGAACGAGTGCTTGGCGCCCGCGAGCATGTTCAGCACGTCCTTCTCGAGCTTCACATACTCGGACTTCTTCTCTTTGAGTATGTGACGCTTCTCGCACACCTTGATCGCGTACTCTTTGCTGGTATGGATATCTTTGGCAATGTAAACCTGTAGAATCAAAGCAGATTCGCGCTCAGTTACCTCATATACTCTATTTAAGCACAAAATTCATTTTGATTACATGCATCTCTCTTTTCACATTTAATATATTTAACATGAGAAAGAGACTTACGGTGGAGAAGCTGCCTTCGCCGATCACCTTGCCAAAGATGAAGTCCTTTGGGGTACGCTTGTGCGTTGGTGGGTTAATGGTGGTGAGGCTCGGGTTCGTCGTCGGTGGAACCCGGGGCGCCAGGGTGCTGGGCGGCGCCACCACACCGTTGGTCACGTCGTTCGTCGGTGGAGACATTCTAGACACCGGCCCCTCCACCGTTACTGCCGGCTGTGGCGAAACGGTAAGCGCCTGGTTCGCCACACGCTGCAACACGAAGAATGCGCGACTCTGTTAGACACACTGCGTCTGTGATCGTCTGACTTGGCTCTATTCTCGCGCGCGACTAGCGATTCGCTAAAATGGGACCTACAGCCTTGTCGACTTGCAAATTTATACCGATAACGTTGGCTGTAATATAAACTTGATAAGGTGTCGCGAGTCAAAAGTCACACGCGCGTGATATAAGTATCGCTTCGCTTCTAACAGCGATTATTTCAAATTGAGGCAGGTCTAAATTCGATTATCTTGCGATTCGTCGAAAGAGAATTAAAAAAAAAAAAAAAAGAAAGAAGGAAAGAGACTGGAACGAGACGATCAGAAAATTGCGAAATTCGATGTACATTAAGACTCGCGTTGCGTCCTCATTATCCTTTCCGCTCCGGAAGACGCGAGAGACGCTCGCGCAGAGGAGGAGGCGCACGAACCTCCCGTGTCCGGCATTTAACTCCTCTCATCCGCCAACGGCCGTCCGGTACCAGGAAATCACGTACCGGAAGCATGACGTCACCGTGACCGACCGACCGTCCGGCACGTGGTCGCGCCGTGCGGGTCAGAGGATGATGATGATGATGATGATGACGGCGGCGCGTCTCTCGCTCGCGCCACGCAGAAAAATAGAAACGCATTCGTGATGCGGCCACGCACGGCCCACGCGCGCTAGAAGATCAAGGCTGCACGCGGCCGAAGTCCAAAGTTTACGAAATTAATCGCGCGCGCGTCTCACCATATTTCTATATATTATATATGCATACATATTTTAGATTTAGAAAAAATATCTTTTTTTTTCGCGAAAGCGCATCCTCTTTCGGAGTATAATATATGTAATATTCTAATTCATATACACATATATTAGGGTTTAATGAGAATCGTTGGCCGGATCCTTTGCACGCAGAACGGCTTTATAATGATGAGAATTTCAAGATCCATCGTGGGGAAGGGGACGATTCCACGCTACCGTTAACAAGGTTGCGACGCAAAATCGAAGGTACAGGAACGAGTCGTTTTCCCTAGCGGATTTCCCTTGTTACAACGGAACGATATTATTGTCAGCTACCTCTCGCTCTCTTTCTCTTGAAAGAGAGAGAGAGAGAGAGAAAGCGTGATGCAGTGCGTAATTGTTTGCTCGCATTATAATACACTAAACGACTGGGCCGCTCTCTCACGCGCGCTGATCTCCGGTTCTTCCTCTTCTCATAACAGAAAAAAATTGGCAAAGGAATAGGTACTGGAGCGTAAAAGGTATTATAACGCGATACAGGTTGAGCAACAGATGTTCTACCTGGTACCTGCTCGCAGGGGGTTGAAGACGATTTAATACTGCTACGTTTAGAGAGGTATGAAATTCAATGGTCGAAGGGGTTAGAGAGGAGCTCTGGAAAACCGGGCCGGATAGAACGTGTCGAGTGCTCGAGCAGTATTTCCGTTCCCGAAGAGGATCACGATCGCGCGTGTTCTCGCGAGATAAATGTCCCTTTACGTGCAGTCCTAATCGTCCCTCATTTCCGGCTCGAAAGACGATCGAGTCTCGCTTCTTTCCGCCGTCATTATCATTGCACTTCCGCCGAAAAACGATCCTCGCATAGAGTCTTGTATATACAAAGCGTTCGCAACAGGTTTCCCGCCCTCGACAGGATGCGTGCAATTTTTTCACTCGGTCTTCTTCTTTCTTTCAAAAAGTCTTCCCATTGACAAGGATGATCGAAGAGAATATAACAATCTCAGCTTCCAATTGTCAGAGCTAAAGATACTCGAGAGAAATCTGGTTTCTATTCTTACAATTTTTACTTTAGCGTTTTCTTTTATTCAGAATCTTGATATATAAATAAAGTTCGCGATATTAAAATTTCATTAGTTAAGTGGCTCGATGTATTAATTAAGGGAAAAATCCCATCGTGCGAACAGCTGACGCAAAATAAAATAGAAATAAAAACTCCGAACGTTAAACTCGACTATGCATATAGTCTCGACGGTAGTAGTGTATCCATATCATTAATCTTCGTGGATATCTTATCAGGACTAAATAATGACGGAATAATTACGTCTACTCTACTGGAAATCATAGCATGATGAATGACGCGAAACTGCAACTGACGACAGCCTTATGCGCGGGCTCGTTGAATCCAGCTTTACGATTATTTGCGACAGCTGTTCGACATCAGGGAGAAACACTCTCCGCGAGTCTGTTTGAGTCTGCGGCGACGCGGAGAGTCGATACTAATAAATCAATAATAGTAATAACAATAATCGTCGCGGACAGCGAAGTCACCCGCGAGAAATGATAATAACAAGGCGGACGATCAATATAATTAATTGCTCGCGAACCGAGTTAATTACACCGCGATGTTTTCGTAATTGTTTTTCCGAGTCGTAATGATTTATCACAACAGGTCGGGAGTGATTTCGGCGAGAATTGCATAAGTCTCAACGACGATAAACACGGAGTCGGTTCTTTGTATTTTTACGAACAGGCTTTTCTTGCCGTCGTAATTTTCGGCGCGCGAACCCTGGCGCGAGGGGTGAAAAGAAGCCGCCAATAAAAATAAACCGTAAAACCCCTTTAGAAATCGTAAAACCAGGAATGGACGGACGAGAAAAAAAAATACGGACGGGCGCGTTGTTTGTATAACAGCCGTGCAGGCGAATTAAGTTTTATCACTTCATCGAGCATTCGACTTTTATGATTTCCCGGCTCGCCTTTAATGAAGCACTTCGCATTTGTTGGAGATGCAATGAGGGCGACGAAATGACCAACCGAATATCACATTACTCCGGCGTCCAATTTCTTTGCACGACGAAGAAAAAGAGAGAAAAAAAGCGGTCCCTTTAAATCTTGAACCAAGTGTTCTCTCAAAAATGCAGGGACAGAAAAGAGAAAAAAAAATTAATTCCATACGAATATATTCGTATTGGAAATTGGAAAAATTTTCCCTGAAATAAAAAAATTTTGACACAGTATAGCGATATAGCGAATAAGAATGGAATATTAATCGGACGACACACAAAGATATACATATGTAAAAATAACAACAAACAAAAATATTGAAAAATAGTTAAAAAATTGTTAAAAAAAAAAAAAAAAAACGAAAATCGTATTCTCGCTAATTGATTTCGAATAAACGAGGCGCCGAGTGTCTCATAAAAAAATATTAATTGACTCCGACAAAGTCAATAATAACGAAAGAATAAAAAAAAAACCCCAGAAATATCGATGAGAAGGGAAATAAAATCGCGGTACGAAGAAGCCACAGATTATGACGCCGCGCGAAAGAAATCTAATAAAAAATATCCGGTCGTGTGTTGTACAAGTCATAACGGCGCGAGAAAGGGGAGAGAGAAATAAAATGCGGACGGACGATAAAACCCCGGGGTTGGCGACGAAAAGCCGCAGGTACGGCAAATAGCGGCGAGATAGGAGCGATAAATACGCAACGCCCTAATTTCGTGCTACCCGTTCGTCGTCGGCCATCGATCACTCGTTTACAGGGTAGAAGGAGGGATGGAAGAACCATATGAGGTCGACAAAAATGGGGTATACAATATACATATACATATATATACACTCGAGGAAGCACTCTCGCGCGCGGTTTCTTCAATGAAGAGAGGGCTCTATCGATGTCACGCGGTAAATCCACTCAAAACTAATCGAATAATAAACTGCTCATTCATCTTTAAGATATACATTCGGATAGAGCGATCCCTATAGTACTGAATTATATATATATATACACACGCTCTAACGTTCTTTCCTCTACGCATAATCCCGAAGGAGAGACCGGACTTCTCTTGGCTGACCCAGACTGAAAACCGAGCCGGGTGGTACCGAGACGACTGGCGTATCGTCTTCGCGGAGGGCGAAAACCCACAGAGCGGTGGGCCCTTTCCTTTCCTCTCTTTATCTATACCTTTTCTCGTTCTTCTTCTTCTTCTTCCCAGGCCGGTTACGAGGCGGGCCCCACGGCGTCAACCATCCGTGTCAGGCCGTCGACCTCGTCGACGAGCATTCGCCCGAGAATCAACGGCCCTATACTCGCGCTCTTCTCTATCTCTATCTCTTTCTCGCATGCTCGCCTTGACTCCGCCTTGCCCCGCTAGTTTATTTATTTGCTTATCTATTCCTTTTGCCGCCAGTTCTGCTTCATCCTACCTCCGCGTGCCGGCGAAGCCGACGACGACGACGATACAATATAATCCAACCACCGAGGCACCAGATACCGAGCAAACGCAAAAGTTCGCCTCGCCTGTTCAGATATCGGGACGAGGTGGGGACCTCGCAAAAATAATCGATACGCGGGCGACAGTCCACCGTGAAACGACCTGCGGGAAGATTTGCTTAGATCGCAGATAGCGCGGCGCGGAAGAAGAGTGGGGTATTTCGCTCAAGTATTTGAAAAGCAATTCGGCGATATTTGAATTTCGGTTGAGCAAAGGCCCCGAGAGGATGTGGCCGGCGCGACCCACGATCCCGCAAAATTTTGTAACTGCTATTTATAGAACGAGTAGTTCGCGCGAGGACTGAAGAACGGAGGATTTAGTAGTTCGAGAGTGTCCTGAGTGTAAAATAATATTTTTCAAAGAAATATTTACTCTCTTATATATAATCGCACGTCCGAGATTGGAATCCTGTTTCTTAATTGCGAGAATATTTTTTTTTATAACATTAACAATTTCTTCATTCATAGCTTTCAGTAATCAAGTAAGCTCTGCGATATATAGTGAAAATAAATGTCCTACTTAAAAACAGCGAATTACTACTGTTACGTATACTACTGCCCTATTCATGCGAGCTCGAGATTGGAATCTTTTTTCTTAATTACGAGAAGATTTTTCCTAACATTAACAATTTCTTGATACATAAATTTTAATAACCGAGTAGTAAGCTACGATGGCGCAAATTTCGCACGAGGAAAATAAATATATGTCCCACTTGAAAATAGCGAATTACTACTATATGGTATTACGAGCACTATTACTATTGCTCTATTCGT